AACAGAAGCCTAGAGGGCCACATTTGGCCCCTGGGCCTAAGACTCCCCACCCCTGTAGCCAGAAGGGAGAATATCCTTCTTGGTGCCAACAGGGAAGTCTCGACTAGAAGAGGGATGTGGTCTTGATGGAATGGAGGAGGCTGATTGAATTGGCCGATTCTTCTGGTGTCTAAAATATGCCTCCTTTTTGCGCACATTTTCTTGCTGAGGACCTGGAACAAACCTTTTAGAAGTAATCCCTTTCTCTGGGCCCCTCTTTCTCTCTCGCTCTCTTTCTGTGTGTGCCAGCCAGGTCTAGACAGCCAGGATGTAAAAAGATCAATGGTCATCTTTTCAATTATTCATTGATTTATTTCCTTTTCACTTTGCTTGTTCTTAAAACAAGTGTGTTTGTGTGAGGGAGGGTGGGCGGGGGGAGAGAAGCAATGGGAGTTTCAAGCACCTCCACCCAGAGACACACCTGCTTTCTAGTGATGGAGAAGCTTCCTCCAGGGAAGACCTCCCCACACCAATCAGCCTCCTCCCTACCCCCCTCTCTCTAATTCATTCTTGCCGTGTGCTTTTCCCAGAGGTGGATACCTGATCTCCTTGGAAGCCCCAAGAAGAGCAAACGCCATACGTACCTGTCTCAACGCGCTCCTAAAATTACAGGTACCAAATGCCGGGAGGGGAAAAAGAAGACAAAGGCACCCCAGTTTTCCAGGCCTGCTCTCCGCTCACCAGGACTTCAAAGCGGAGCCCAGCGCCAGTCTGTGTTACCTTGGCTGTCCCTTTCGTGAGGTGAGTAACCAGTTTTGCTTAGTAGTGCATGGCTTGGAGCGGCGAAGAGGTGCAAAGGGTGGGAGAGGTATAATTCATGTGAAAATGAGTGGCGGTGGCAAGAGGCACCTGTGCTGTGTTTCCATATCTTACCTTGAGAAAAATGCTGTGGAGCCGGGCTGTCACTTCTCCCAGATCTGTTTGAACTTTGCAGTTCAGAAACGGCGACCTGCCCTTTTAAAATAAAGGGCTTGGTGGATAGGTGGAGCTAATGTGTTGTCGCTGTTCTTTGAAATAGGCATTTGAGAACTTTCTCTTTGGATTTCTTTCTGGTGCTGCATAGTCACTAAGAGACTGAGAGATGAATCAGGCAGCCCCTGGTTCGTATGTTGCCTAGGCAGTCTTGGGGTGCCCAATATTATTTCAGCCTCCACACACCCCATCTGCAGTATGGGGATAATAATACTCACCTGTCTTACTGGGTTGTTTATTGCAACAAAAGTAATGAATGAACAATCTCTGAACACTCAAAAGCACAATAGAAGATTGTGTTTCGTAATCATTTAGGGTTGTTGTTCTTATTATTATGCTTGTTCCCCTCCAAAAGGTTAAAGGCAGGTAATAATGGATTTAAAAAGCAAATGTAAACTATCCCATTAAAAGCCAATCCCACATAAACATTAAAAATCATAGTAGATGAAAAAACACTATTATTACTTCAGTGGAGTTATACCCAGACCCCAAACATCAGCCTATGGGGTCAGCTTCAAAAAAGAAAAGAAAAGGGGGGAAAAGAATGTGTTTTTTTTTTGGGGGGGGGAGTTTTATTACTTCAGGACAGTCACGAAGAAAGCCTCTCCATGTGTCCTTGGCTGTCTTGAAAGTCGTGCATAGCTGCTGTTGCTAAGAGGATGTTTGATCTTAGTGGGATGGGACATAAGCAGGGCTGTACTTACTCTGTGCTAAAGGACAGAGGGAAAAGGGAGAAATATCAGCAAGAACATTCTCCCGCAAGAAAAGCTGAATTCTGTGTATCATGCATTTTCTTCTTCTACTAATCAGGGGAAGGAGTTGTACTGAGCACAGAACCCCTGGTCCCTTTGCAATCGAGAATCCTGTTCAGCTCCACTTGCCTTTGGCTTCTACACTGTCATCTCCATGCTTCCCAACCAACCTATGTGGCTTAAAGGCCCTAGAGCCTTGTTAAGGATCCTAAATTCACACATCCCTACTAAGAAGATGCACAGGCTCTGGCCTTGGCGCCTCCCCAATGGAACATTCACTATGAATGCCTCTCTGCACACCCTTGTTGAATAAACAAGGGCATTCCTACAAGAGCATTTGATCTTGTGCAAGGTGATGGGATATGGAAGAGTCAACAGCGTCTCATGTTGCATGGCTCACACATTTGACTCAAGGCCCCTTGGCTGTCTATAGCACTATAGCACTACAAAGCTGGTGCTGCAAAATCAAGGGGTCCACTGAGCTCCTGGCAGGCCAGCCTTATTGCCGTTTAGATCAGCCTTGTAAGGAAGCCCACAGAAGTTAATAACATGCAAAAAAGTTTGCTTGCCTGCTGAGGGGCTAATAGCCTGTGATTCCATGCTGGCCACAGACGGGGAGCCCCCTCCTCCTTGGCCGGCAATGATACTCAAGCTGCTGGCTTCTTAGACTAGTAAGAAAATGAAATAAAGGAAAAGAAGGACTCCTACCCAGTGGGTTGGTTAAGGAAGGACAGATTGCTCCACCTACTCTCTGCCATTCCCTTCTGTTGTGGCTAGCATGGAACCGAGTGGAAAGGCAGAGGAGATGGGCAATACTCTCTTTTCTGCCAGAGTTCATGATCACAGCCTCAGGCTATTAGCCAAGTTGTTAAATCAGCCTTGTATTTCGATGCCATGCCAAGACTGCCTTGCTTCTCCCCAGCTTTTAATTAACAATAGCGCACCTTTTATGTCTCTTTATGGCTGCTGCTTTTAGTCTTGCGCTGCTATTTTATTACTGTTTGAGGTTTCATTGTTTAATGAATTTTGTTCTAAGCTGCCTTGAAAATTAGTTTATAAAGGGAAAGGTGGAGTATAAACATTTGCTATTCAAAATAAATAACAAATACCTGGCTGACATGCTGCATACAAATGGCAGGCCGTAGGTTTAACAGCAGTGGGCTGTACGTTTGCAGGCCTTGCGTAATGTTTTCTGGGTTAAACTGGGAACTGTAGTTTAAGGGTGCTGGGAATTTCAGTTACATGAGGGGCATACTAGAGTTTCCAGGTTTCTTTGGGCGAAGTCATGTCCATGGTGCATACACAGCGTGAAAAAGAGGGCATGTCTGGTAAGGATTGTCAAGACTTTGATAAACCTCTCCTTCTTCATCTGTTTTGAGATTGACATGGAATAACAGACAAAATGATTGGTTTCTGACTTGGGTTCAGTTCCCGGCTGATCCATCAGCCCAGTAAATGCCTTCTAACAGTGCAATCATATGTAAGTTTACCTGGCAGTATCACCAGTTAAGTCCAGTGGTGTCTAGCAGGCCATCTTCTTCCTCTCTCAGCCTTCATTCTCCCCCTTCTAAAATTATTAGGAGCGGTGCCCTACCTTTCAGGGTTGCTATGGAGGAATGATGGTATTGCATTTTATGTGCACGAAAATGTCGCATAAACAAACCTCTGCATGGGGTGACCTGTTTGTATGTTTTGTAGAACCAGGTTACTAGAGGGAGGTCAGTGGCAAGTTGCAGACACAGAAAGCCTGCTTATATTCACTTTAAGCCCGGGATTAATTATCCCACATATTGTTGCCAAAAGAAAACGAGCTTCCCTCCAGCCGGGAACACAGTATGATAGTGCCTTCTGTTCATTTAACAATCTCCTCCAGTCAGTAGGGTGCAAACAAAGTGCTGTCTTCTGCAGCACTCCAGCATGCTCCCTACCAATTGCCTCACATGATGCAATCCAATAGGCACCCATATTCATAGGCATGAAGCGACCAAGGAATTGCACATAAAAGAGTACTTCTAAAATAAATGCCTTGTTGCAGATAACCTATGTGAACTGTCTGCCTGCTGTTTGTGATGGACTCCCTTGTTTTAGAGAATCTTCAGCTAAATCCTATAATTCTTTCGTTCTCTTCACCCTCCTTAACTCACTACAAATGCCTGTATTTGCAGGTTTGGGGCAAGCTTGAGGACTAGAAGCGTTTCTTAAAATAAAAATTCAGAGATACTCTTGCAAGCCAGGTTGGGGGTTAGGGTGGAGAGTGACCAGCTTCCAGGCTAGAAAACTAAATCCAAACTTGCTGCTGCCTTGGTGATAATTATGTGAAAAGAACGCTGAGTGGACTGAGAATGGCTGAGGCATGATTGACAGCTGCCATGCTGTCTGGGGGAAATGATTGCAACAAAGAAACTTCATTGAGCTTATTCTTCCATCTCCTTCTCCTACCCCCATCACCCCTTCCAATTTTCTTTTCTGATGAAATTGTCCCTTCCAGTGAAATCAATACCAATTTCCATCTGGAGATGGGGGTGGGGATGGGGGCGCTGTGAGTGACGGCCGCAGATTGTAGAGCTTCCGCTGATTTCTCTTCCGCCCTCTCTGTTTCAAATGCATCTTTCAAGTAACATTTGGCACTCTATGTCGTTTTGTCTTCTCAACAACCCTGCAGGGTAGGGCTTGGAACAGAACAATGCCTAGGCTCCTATCTCCAGGCAGCTGCGGATGTGATTTGCGTAGACTGCTCCATTGGCCTTCTGAGTCCCATATCTTTACCTTCTGACCAGTGGCATACATTTGTGGGCAGAGGATAAAGTGGCTGGGGATTGGGAGGCCACTGGACTCAAGTCGTGCCATAGCCTTTGGCAAGTTGCCACCCCCAATACTCCTGTCAAATAGGAATATATATGTGTTTTCACAGCACATACCTGTGAACAACTTTACTACATGTAGCTTCATGGTTGCAGCAGTTCTAGGGTTACCCTGTCTATACGTTACCTGTGGAACCCAGCTCATGCAGAGAGAAGGGGAGAGAAAGAGAGAAGAGAGAGAGAGAGAGAGAGAAGGGGGAAGCCACGGATTTGCCTTTGCATTGCGGCCACACAGGTTTGGCTGCCTCCACCGGACTTGGCAGCATATGCCAGTAATTATGCACCGCCCTTGTATTCTTATTACCACCGTGATATCCTCCTGGCGTTTGTGCTAGACACCCATCTCTGAATAAAAGGTAGGGGCCTTTAAGAGGGGGAGAAGGGGAGAGAGAGAGTATGTGTCTCCCCCCAGCACATTAATCTATCATGAGCTAATGTGTTTTGCCCATTCTGTTCCTTTGTACTATCGCCAAGGCGTGCGCGCACACACACACACTCACCCGCACACACACACACACACTCACCCGCACTCTCTTGTTGCACTTCTGCCACCGAGCTCTGATGGTTGGCTGGGCCTGAGCGAGTCCGCGAGAGACAGAGAGAGAGAGAAAGAAAGAAAGAGAGAGGCAGAGTGACTGACAGACAAGGCAGACGGAGGCAGAGGAACAAAGCCGAGACAACAATGGGAAATACACCGTCTCAAGGCATGTCAATGTTCATCCATTCTTAAGTAGCAGGTATTTTTTTTTATTGGTGTTTTGTTTTTTTTCTCAACCCTCCCTTTCTCTTTCCCAAACCCTGCTGGTACCTTAACGATGCTCCTGCCGCTCTGGTCGTGCCCTTATAGCCGGAGGTGTCGGCGTTTTGCTTGGAATCGGAACACAGGGAATGGACGTGGTTGTGGTGTTGTTATCATTTTTTTTGTAAAGGGGAAAAAGGGGTGTGTGGCGGGGTGACAGAAGCTCCCCCCTGCCCCTTGTGGTTGGGGAGGCAAGGTAGGATTCTGACTATCAAATCTGCCACTTAAGTGGGTGGTAGGGTGTGTGTGCTGGGGGAGAGATCTTAATATATAAACACTGAGCAGTTGTGCGGCCAGTGCTTGTTGTCAAGGCTGCTGAGCTCCGGGGAGATTAACTAGCTACCGAATCTGCTGCCCTAGAAATATTGCTGAAAATAGAGGGGGAGGGGGGACAGGCAGCACATATTGATAGGTAGAAGAACCTCTTTGTTACCTCCCCCCCCCTGCCACCTGGCATGAAAAGGTACATAAAGATTTGCCTGCTGATTTCAGTTTGTCAATGGTTGCACTGCTGTTTCTCCCCCTCCCCCCACACAAACCACCCCTTTTTATTATTATTATTTTTTCTCCCCTGCTGGAGATTAAGGTTGTTGCTGACTGCTTTGTTAACTCAGGAAGGCAGTAGGGACTGGGGGAAGAGAAAGTAACTGAGAGAAAGAAAGAGAAAAGATGTGAAGAGGAGAGACGATTGATGGGGGTTTTCTTCTTCTTCATCATCTTCTTCTCAGTAGCTTGAGTGTGATCGCAGAGTGGGAGACCCTTTGGATTTCAGGTTGCATCGCCAACTTGGGGATTCTTTGCTTCCTTCCCTGAGCATCGGTGCAGGACCAAAATAAAGAAAAGAAAGCCACATCAGGGATATGAGAGGGGAGAACAGAAAAGAATGCATTGATTTCTTTCTTTCTCTCACCTTTGTGATGCAGAACATAGGATGCTTGTGTGGGGACATGCATGACGGATGGTTAAGAAGCACGTTTCCCGGGAGATGTTGTGCACGCAAATGTACGTGTTGGAGGTATCTTAGATATGTGCAATTCTTTTTTTAAAAAATCACCTAGCAAGGTTCTTTCTCTCTCTTCACCCTCTCCCCACTTGGCCAGCTACCATGTGCCAGCCTCTTTCAAGGGAAGAGCTTGTGATCGAGTTGGGTGTCCACTTGAGGTTCTCAAGAGGGTCTGGAAGAGAAGAGTCTTATGGTGCGAGACCGGTCTCTGTTGGGAGGAGTTAAGGAAACGGAGAGATGGTTGATGTTGGGGTTACGGCTGGCTTAGCCATGGAGGCAATCACATAATGGCCTGGGGTTGCCAGAATTCCAGGGGCATCTTACCTTAGCTATGCAGATGTCTTGAAGAGGGAGCCCCTGCCTTGACTTTTGCAAGAAGTGCACAAGAGCAGCTTAACAGCTCCCTCGAGGGGTGAAACCCCCACCCCTCCTGCATTTCACTGGGACACACAGGGCAGGAATCTTCTTATCTTCACCTGTCTCCCTCCTGGCACCGATGCAGTTTTAAAAAGAAGGGAGTGAAATTAAACATGAATACGAGGCAAATAGGATAACGCTCAAGTTTTAGATCATTAAATGTGCTATTGCTATTCCACTTGCCGTTTGATAAGACATTATCATGAATAACAACAATAATTTAATTCATTAGTTACTTCGTTTGAAGCGTCTCTAGGCAATTTCACAATACAACAAAACATAAAGACATTGCATTTACAAAAAACAATTTAAAATAATTTCATATATAAAAGTGATTTCAAATCCAATACAGGTACTGATAAGACAATACAGATAAGACATGTGTAGGTGCATGCATTTTAATTCATTTGCAGCAGCAAAAAGAAACCTTGGGGGAAGTGGGAATTCTAAAAGGCAAGAGAGAGTTGCTTAAGGGTTTGGAGAAGCAGCAGCCCTTTGTGTTTCTTTCATACGTTATCCTTGGCAGAGCAACAGAAGGATTCCCCCCCCCTAGGTATGTGTGATCTGGCCTCTAAGGCGGGAGTTGCCCAGTTCCAAAAAGTTCTCTGTTTTGCCCCTGTCCTCACCTGCCCCTTTACTCCAGGCCGCGGTGCCTGGCCTTGATCTGCTGGCAGTAGGGGAGATTTGAAAATCAAAATGTATGTGCTGATAGTAAAGCTAGCGACAAAGATGAATAAATCTGAGGTTTGTAGGATTCTCAGTGTTTGGTGGTGGGCAAAGAAAGACATTTCTAAGCAAAAAACCGGCCTTTTATGTTCGTAGAAGTGCTGCAACGTTGTTGAATCAAAAAATAAAGTAGATGCCGTGCTTAGGTACACAAGCAACCGCTTGGCTCGTATAATACAATAGAGAGATTTGGAACTTTTCCCTTTGTTTAGAATCAGGCTGCTGAGGAGGACAGAGTGACACAGGGCAAGGAAGGAAGAGTTTCAAAGGGCGTGTGAGTCAGGGAGGAGTTGGGGAGCTTAAAGGAGTCAGCAGGGCAGAGACTAGGCTCACCAGAGAAAGACACAGCATTTTAAAAATACAGAACCATGGAATGGCAAGAGTTGGAAGGTAACCCCAAGGGTCATCTAGTCCAACCCGCTGCAAGGCAGGAATCTCAAACCTAGCATCCATGGCAGATGGCCACCTAACCTCTGCTTAAAAACCTCCAAGGGAAGGAGAGTCTACCACCTTCCAAGGGACCCCATTCCACCATGGAATGCTCCTCTCATCAGAAAGGTCTTCCTGATGTTTACTAGGAATCACCTTTCTTGTAACGAAGCCATGGGTCCAGGTCCTATCCTCCGGAGCAGGAGAAAACAAGATATGCTCCTTCCTTCACCACTGGAACAAAAAGAAAAAAACCACTTCACTCTTCATGTATATAATCTGTGAAACTCTTTGCTACGGTGTGTTTTGATGGCCATCATAGAATAATAATAGAATAAGCCACTTTTCAAATCAAGGCACAGGAGGAATAGTCTCCCTAGTATTTACAAACCATGATAGCCAGCAGTGGAGCCTTCTGCTCCGGAGCCAAGTTACTTCTTTCAGCCAGAATCTAGGGACTGGGGTTGATAATTACTTGTATATATAAATAGACAGTTCCCAAAATCCCATCTCTTTGTCATTCTTTAGGGAGAGGAAAACGGGAGTACTGAAAGGGATAGGGAAACAGATCTAGGGAAAGAAGGCCAGTTCTTGAGTTGGAAGAGTGGTATGATGTGTGTTGCCCATGTCCATCTCAATAACTCACTTTCGGATGGGGCTAAATGGAGCATGTAGTGCTCTGGATGACTGTAGCCTCAGGAAATCATGCCCCGTTAGGCTGCCCAGCAACACAGCAAGGCACAGCCTTCCTGGTCAAGCACTCTCAGTGTTGGGATGGAAGATTGTCATACCACCTCAAAAAAAGACTGGAGCTAGCAGCACTGGAGGGGGAGTGAGGTAAATTAGCAGTAAAAGTTGGTAGTGGGGCCCAGCAAGGAGGGAGGAGCTGAAACAGGCTGAGGAGCTCTGATGGCAGGAGTGTGTGGGGTTAAGTGGGGAAGGGTGAAAGAAGCAAGCGGGTGGGTTGAGGGGAAGGCAAGAGGAAAGGCACTCCCTATTCCTTCTCAAACGCCCCATCACAGCTGTTGAATTTCATGCACAGTTACTGGGAAAATAATAATGCTTGGTATTTATGATTCCTTCCATTTCCAATGTTCTCAGGCCGCGAGTGCCATTGCTTATGTAGCCGGAACAGCACTACCCATACACAGGAGGGTGCGGGGGTATTAGCAGACTCAGGAGATTCCCAAAGGCTTGCAAAAGTACAGAATATATTTAGCGGGGAAAGAAACTTTAGGGGGACTCCCCCCGCAAAACAGCTCAGTGATGACTGAGCATGCTCAGTGGGCATGGAAGACTGCAGGTGAGGAGGAGATGGGAAAATGGGAGCAGGGAGTGCATTTGAGTGGCTGGAGCCCCGTGGAGCAGCAATCCATACCACTACATTTTGTTGCAAGTCCCACTTGCACTTGCTTCTCTCTCCCTGCACCCTGCTGGAGAGGTATATCTATATTTCCTATTTCCTTAGCACTCAAAATTTTATCTCAGTATTCCTTAACAATAACCCCGTGTAGCCGACCCATATTACAGAAGGGGAAGGGACTGGGGCTCAGCATGAGTGGTTTGCCAAAGACCGCATACTGCAGGTGTAGGGAAAGTTTGGCCCTCCTGATGTTGTCAAACTACAACTCCCATCAACCCCAGCAAGCATGGCCAGTACTGTAATGGCAACAACCTGAGGGCTAAAGGTTTCCCACGCCTGAACTGTTGAGTTCGGTCTTGAAGTGAGATTTGAACCAGGAGCACTCGGTTCATAGCCACTCAGTGAAACACCAGCTCTGCTGCCATCAATTTCTGGACTGCTTGTGATGTTTGTTATGGCACCTAGCTGAATGCCGAACTAGATCAGTTTAACTCTTAAATACATTAACCCCCCCAAAGTCTGAAGTCTTTATTTTCATGGGAAATAGGGGCACGTAGGAAGTAGGGGTGGAAGACTAGGGAGATGGAGTAGTAGCAGAGGACTGCTGGCCCATGCCTTTGAATTGATGGATTATTTTTGTCCTGTGTGCTGGGGCCTGAGGGCTGGAGATTGACTTGGAGATGGTCAGGGAGGACAGCCTGCAGTTGCTTAGCAACTGCTAGAAAGGGGGGGGGAAGCAGTGGAGGTGTTGAAAAGGGTACAGAGAAAAGAGTCGGCATTGCTGACACAGGTCTAAGGAATCAAAACTGGGATGGGCTGCAGAGCCAAGTCCTAATGTGTGGCCCACCCACCAGCAACTAAACTTTGGGGTCTCTTTCTTACTCCGAAACAGAGAGACCCATATTGCAACACTCACTTCTGCTTCCTTTCCACACTACACTGTTCTGCCTTTGAGGAAGGATCATAT